TTAATAAAAATACGAATTCCCAAGAAAGCATCTATCTCATTCCATGCCTATTCAAAAACGAGTAATACTATTCGGACCTAATTTATTGACTTAATTCATTATAACATTTAGATTGACTGTAAGCTCCATCAAACATTGGAACTAAGTGTTAATCCAATGGTTTCAATAAAGCTACGTCATTAGATTAATAAATTATATCAAATTTTTAGGTCTAAATAGCATTTTCCTTCAAAAAAAACCCACAATATACAAAGAGATGTTGTCTTGTCTCTTCACCCCTTGAGCATAAAACACATCGACTAAGATAAGGAAAGCCCAACCCTTCAATTTTTTTTTAGTTCAACAGTCAAGAGTGTTCGGGTCAATTTACACAGGCCTCAACTATTTTCTTCCTCGATTTTGTTAAAGACAGATCATCCATATTGGAACTAAAGAATTCGTGAGGGATACCCTTCAATCTTTTCATCTAGAGGCAAATAATGCTTATAAAGTCTCCAAGCATGAAGCTTAGCACTTGGAAAACAATCTTGGCATCTTGCTGCCATATGTGTTTAGCAACCTCATCCTTCTCTTTACTATTCCGAGTCATCTCCCAAGACGACTTGGATTAGTGGGTCTGGTAACTAATATAACCAATTCTTGATCTTGGATTTATAAGTGTTTTGGGTACTATAATTTAAATTGAGCATTATTATAAAACCTAAATGAAACTCAAAAAGTTGTAACTGAAATGCATATCATTCCTTGGATGAGTGAGTCTCATCAGTTTTTTCAGTGAAGTCCACTCATCCCACACTCATCCAAGAGTTGATATAAGTTTGAGTTTTATTTGGGTTATATAGTATTTTCAATTTAAATTTGCTTGAAATTTTTGGCATATTAAAGGGTGAAGGACAGGTGCGGTTGACCTCATCGAGTCCCAGTATGGAGTAAATGAGCACACACTCCCCTCGTAGAAGTAGCTGCCACTGCAAATTTTTATGTCTGGCTGTCCCCCAATGCATTCCAGTTATCAATAGAGGTATCGTCAATATATGATACTCCACTCAAATACAGGCCTTGAGCTACCAAAACGGTAGTTTATTGGATGACCAAATCTTGACTTTATCTCTCCTTATCTCAGAATTGGGTGGCTAATCCACCACCTATGGTTAGGGAGCTGATCTTCATTGACTATAATCGTTCTTTTTATAGTTGAATGAAAGTTTCTTTCCTTTCAAAAAAAAAAAAAAAACTACGAGGCAAACTGGTTATGGCACTAAACAATAATTATTTGATGTATTATCTCTATTTTTCATCAAATAAAATCATGATATGTGTAAACACATTACTTCATTACTTTTACAATCAATAACTAAAAATCAAGATATGTAGATCTTCGATCAACTTAGGTATTGTGACCACAATTTATTTGAGTATTGTAGACTTGTCCTCACTTCAACCACTACATAGTGGATTGGGATTAGTTGGCCATCCAAATAGTGGGGCACCTATTTTTTATGTTCTCCCTTGACCTAGCCCACATACAAGATGCATGCGAGATAAGTTGATGTCTAATGTTACAACTCCTAATGATTTTTTTTTTTTATTAATGTAAATTTATTTTATTTTATTTTTCTTGTTTAAAATTCCAAAAAAAGTTTTTATATTTAACTTTTGGTAACATATCCATTTTAATTGATTGTACGTGATAAGGGTAGAATTTTGGGAATGGGTCGTCACGGCCTATGAGCCCAATACACCTTGAGAATTTAAAGACAAGGCTTATTGGCCCAAAGAGGTGCCTCTGGTTAGCCCACATCAGGAGCAGCAAGGGTAAAAGCCCAATAGCTCTAGAGGGCCAGTAGTCAAGCCCTGGCCCAGTCCAGTACCAATCGAAGGACCATCCGAGAAAGAGGAGTCGAATCTTTGTCCGGGAAACATCCTGTCATACCACGCGTCCAAAAGACAAGGGGATCATCTCTGAAACCTATGACAGTTACACTCTCCTGGGCACAAAGGATGGTGGCGCGTAACGATCCAAAGATCGTGGGTATAGTAGCGCCGGCTAACAGAGGCTTTTGTAGGACAAAGACAGAAGGTCCCCACAGGATGAACAAAATGGTAGAAGGAGCCACTAGGAACCCTAAGAAGAATTAATATAAATAGAACAGTGTTAACCTACTAAAAAGGATCTTCTTCCCCCCAAGAGATTCCCCTACCCTAGATATAGAACAAACAAAGCTTAAGCTCCTGTAAAGGCTCAGGGCCGATGATCCCGATTCTAATACATGACTTTAAGGAGTAAGAGATTCTGTTACAATAGATGTAGTCATGGTTTTTTGGCTAAGGTGAACCATTTATGTTTTGAGTCTTCCATTATTTACAAATCAACCACGCATCTGATCGAACTCACTGATCCAGGTATTAATTTGTTAATCGGGCTTGGACCATTATTTCCGAGACACCATCAGTACGGTTAATCAATTTCATTATTCTTGTTATATTTTGTAGAATTTTATTAATTTTAATTTAAAAAAAAACCTCGATTTTGAAAAGTCAAGTATTAAATATATCGCTATTCTATAAGCAATGCATGAATTGGATTATTTGTTTAAAAAAAGACTTTTAATTCTTAAAATAAAGCTAGATGAAATGTATCTAAAAAATATCCATTTCTTGGGGAACATCCGAGAGCAGTAAAATAATTTTATACTATGCATAAAATTTTTTCACTTAGATTAGATTTTTGTTCTGACCTTCTTTGTGGGGCTTAGATTTTTATGAGATTTAGACTTCTCATTTATAATATACTACAAAAATTTACAAAACATGCAGCTTTCTTATGGGTGGTATTTAAAGTTGTTGTTTTAATGGCCTAATGATAGAGCTGGTGATACCCTTATGTTATTTTTTTTTTTTCTCATATTTAGGTATTATGTTAGAAGTTTATAATAAAAAATTATTAATAATTTAGACGTTGTCTGCTTGAGAAATCACATAAATATATATTTAATACTTCAGAGATTAAAATGATGTAATTGAAATATAAGGGATCAAAATAAGACAAACTCAATAGTTTAAGGATTTTAGTGCAATTAACCCTATTTTTTAACGAAAACTTATTCTACTACCAATTCGCCATTCAAACGTCACGTTAGGATCACGCACCACGAACGTGTGTAATCATCAGTTTACCATACATGTATCAGTTTAACTTTAGCGTTACACAAACAATATGTTTCAAACTTAAGAAGTGCCTTGGGTTTAACGGACACTCTATTGCACATATTATTGGAACCCTAGGCAGACCAAAGGTGCCGTTGACCTCTATTGGAGAACCAATATGGAAGAAATCAAAGGGAAACATACACCTCGCATGATGCCACTGCCAATATCTATCTAATATTACAGCGAGAAAGATGAATTTTTAATTTATAAAAATACAACAACAACTAATCAAATTTTTATCTACTTTAATTTAATGGAATAAAATATATCTCAAAAAAAATTTTCCGTTCAAAAAATATCAATTTCTCTGCAAGATCCTCAATACTAAACTACTTAATCAACATATTTCTCAATGTCAAACAATCTCATCAATCTATCCCTACTTTTCTCTCAATTTTAATTTTAAATTGCATAATTAAAAAAATAATTTATTATTTAAAATATAAATATTACAATATCAGTTCGATTTTTTATATTATACAATGTTTTTAAACACGTTATTTCTATTGTATAAACATACTGTCTCCAATGCGTCCCACTTGTCAACAAAGACATTGTAAATATAGTTCACGAAGTGTGAAGCAACACTCCAGAATTTTTCTCTCTAGAATTTTTCTTCCTTCATGAGTTCATCACAAACACAACACCATATTCCACCAAAACCTCCAGATTCATCCAATATCACACAACAAACCTATGCTTCATTATTCAAAAACCAATCCCACCAAACCTTTGATGGTTCCTTACCAGAAAAAATTGAAAAGCCTATAGTATTTTATGAAGGAGAACCTGCATTCTATTTTACTAATGAAGATGTGCAAAAATCTTGCCAAACTCTGCAATTTACCTTGATTGGTAAGTGTTCGTATGGCAGACCTTCCCTGGGAGTAATAAAGGAAGTGATTAGATCCAAATGGAACCTGAAGGGGGATTTTGAAGTTGGATCGATTGATCAGAGACATATTTTGTTGAGATTCCAACTACAAGAGGATTATGTTAAGACATGGTTGAAGGATGCTACTCTGATAGAAGATTATTTATTCAGATTCTTCAAGTGGTTCCCAGGTTTTGTTCAAGGCATTGAGCCCTCAGTAGTTCCTCTGTGGGTTTCACTTCCTGGATTACCCTTGAATTTCTTTAAGAAGCAATATTTAAAATTGCTGGTTAAGCCTGTAGGAATAGTTCTGGCCTATGATCAAGCTACTTTATCTCTGTCACGGCCGGGGGTGGCTCGAGTATGTGTGGAAGTGAACCTGTTGTTGAATAATCCTTCTAGAATTTGGATCGACATGGGGGAGGAGGGAGCTAGATGGCAACGAATTATCTATGAGAGAAACAAGCTTTTCTGCAAAAGCTGCAAAAAACAAGGCCATTGTGAGGAAGAATGTAGAAAAAGGAAAGTTTCTGTGTTGCCAGAAGAAGAGAAAGGAAATAATTTAGTTTCCAAGGAGAGTAAGACAGGAAAGGAAAGAATTGAAAAGAATAAAGGAAAGGAAAGACAGTTAATTCAAACTACAGGAAATTCGCACAAGGAAGTTGCTGGACAAAGGAACAATCATCCCCAATCAAAGCAGGCTAATTTAGCCCAACCATTTAAAGGTGTATGGAAGCAGCAACAGAAGCCCAAACAAGTAAGTAATTCTCAGAAAGTAATAGATAGTAATTCTGGAAACCCAATTATTCTCGATTGCGAAGCACAGAATTTGGAAACAGTCAAATCAATTAAAAGCATGGAAACCGGAGAACATTCTTGTAAAGATGACCCAACTATTTTGGGCAAGGATATTTTAATGAAGGCAACTAGGCAAGGAGAAGATTCTGTAAATCTTGTTCAAGATCCTATAGCTGTGGCAGAAACTTCTATGGTTCCCGTGGAAGAAGAGCAATCCCTTCTTGTAGTTAATAATGCACTTCTCTCATCCTTCAGTCACGAGGCAATGAGAGAGAACCTGGAACAAAATAAATATCATGAGGAACCTGTGCAATCTGATATTTTAACAATTCAGAAGAATGTAGAAGATGAGACAGATAAGCAAATAAAAACTAAGTTACCAACGCAAAAGATAAGATATCAACTTGATAGGGAAGTGGGACAGGAGGTATTTGAAGATCTCACCTTTTATATGGACCATGCGTATACATTTAGAGAACTCTCTAATGTTAGCTTGGATGAGGGACTGGGATTAGTTTGTAGCAAGGAACCCCCAGATAGAGGTTTCTACTCAGATGGAGACAATCCTAATAATTCTGACCCCATAGAGGTAGACTCTCAAGCATCAGGTGATGATGATAATTATAGTCCAAAAATAAGAAGATCAGTGGTGTTTCCAACGAGCATGGTAACCAGATCAAAATCTGGTCTGATTAAAAAATCAAATCAGTTTAAATGATTAATATGCTTTTATGGAATATTAGAGGAATAGGAAAAGGTGCAAAACAGAGGCGCCTGAAGAAGTTATTAAAGATGCATGATATTAGCTTGGTGGCAATTCTAGAGCCTAAACAGGGGGTTCAAAGTCTGGTTAGATTGTCCAAATTTTTAAATATGTCGTCATATGAGGTTAATGTTAGGGCAGAGAAGTATGTCTGGATTATGTGGGATCAAAGATTGACGGTGAAGGTGGTGGATTCTCATATACAAGCTCTAACGGTGGAAGCTTTTTTCTTGAGCTCTCTTCCTTTTTTGATTACTGTGGTGTATGCCCAGTGTGATTACATGTTGAGAAGACCACTTTGAGAGCATTTAGGTAATTTTCAGTTTAATTCAATACCATGGATGGTGGCAGGGGATTTCAATGCAATTGTTCAGTCTGCAGAAAGAAGAGGTGGGGCAGTTCCTTGTGTCAATGCAATGGATGATTTGGGAATTTTATTCAAACAAACGGCTTAATTGACTGTGG